GACTTGATAAGGCACAACAGGAATGTCAATTATATTCACAAAGCCAAAGTAATGCAACTGATACATTAAATTCTGGTGATAGTGATTCGAATAGTTTATCATCAGTAAATATTGTTACAGGTTCTGAAAAATCAATTTTATATAACATAGCGGATATAAAAACTAGATGGAATTCAAAATACCATTCATGGAAACGACTACTTAAACTGCGTAAAGCAGTTGAATAGTTAGATGCAACATTACCTTTATCTGACAATCCGGATGATCAAGCTGATGGTTGAAAATTAAAAAAGCTACTTCTTTCATCATACGAATGGGATCTATTAAACCAAATTATTACTTTGTTAGAACCATTTGATGATGCCACTACTTATTTTAGTGGATCAAAATATGTTACTTTATCTATTATATATCCTTTAATTCAGGCACTCAAATATATATTCACTGAATTCGAAATAGCAAGTGATATTCAAGACAATGAACAAGGTAATTAAAATAATATAAAGCAGCTATGATAATATCGTAAGGTAATATAGTAAATTAATAATTTACTATATTACTAGTATAGTCAGACCCCTAAATACTACCCTAAGTGCACGCCCTATAAAACATCTTCCTAAATGCACATCTCCTCTTGGGCCCAACTCATATTAAGTCTATAGATTTTTACCACTCTATATGCAATACACTCTAATTGTACATTTGACTAAATTTTAGTATATAGTCTCGTCGCATTGCATTTAGGAAGGTCTGACTGTATATTGTTTATTATACACATCTTAATTCTTCATAGTTGTTTATCATTCAATAAGTTTCTCCATGACTTTTAATATCTCTTCATTATTTTATTCGTATCTTTAATGATTCATTTAGACAAATCTTCATGACTCTATATTTACTTATCATATAATAAGTTATACTATATGTATGTATATACATACATACATATATACAACTTTTTTAGTACTTATCATATTATTATTAGAGTTACCTTAATTCAAAATTAATAGAGATTGAGCCTTAAACAAATATATATCTTCATGTTAATATTAATATACAGGTCTTATACTATTATATCTTAATAATCGACTAAGCTGATATTTTAAAAAATCGACTTAGTCGACTAATGCAATATCGACTTGAAATACAACTCCTAGATTAAAATCGAAAAAAGATCTCTCAGTATATTTAATTAACTATAATTAAATATTAAATTGATTAAATAGATGTACCTAACTTTCGCCATGAAGAATCTTTAATTAACTACTTTTAATTAAATATTAAATTAATTAAATAGATGTACCTAACTTTCGCCATGAAGAATCATCAGATGATGATAGTGATGATTCAGAATATGATAGATCAGAATCAACTAATGATTCTTCACCAAACACTAACACCATCAAGTTAATGCGCCATACAATCTATAATTCCTTATTTGATTATTGGAATGAACTATTAATGGTCGGTTTGTTGGCATCACTTTTGGATCCGTGACTAAAAATGCTTTCTAGTTGGAATGAAGAAGCTCAAAAAAAGGCAAAAACTGAGTTAACTCATCAATTCAAAAATATAACTGATTCAAATTATGAACAAACAACAACATCAATATATACTACTTCCTCAGGTGATAGCAATATTCGCCGCAATCGTTTACACTCCTCCATTTTTGGTACATCTACTTCCACCTATACTGCTTTCAATCCTTTGGCCGAATTAGAATGCTATCTGGATCCTACACAAACTCCTATTGCTGATGATAATGTAAATCTATTTGAATGGTAAGCAATTTGGAAAACAAAATTTCCTAACGTAGCAAAGTTAGCAAGAAAGTATCTATCAATTCCTGCATCATCTGTGCCTAGTGAAAGGCTGTTTTTAGATGCCAGTAATTGCATTACTGCAAAGTGTATATAGCTAGATCCCCAATTAGTGAATAAAATAATGTTTTTAAAAAGAAATTCTGATGTAGTTTCAATATTTTAGAAATTGTGTATAAAAAAAAAAAAAAAAAAAAAAAAAAAGCCAGGAAACGTGTGATTGAAATCAAATTATGTTACTTATCGTTTACTTATCAATATATTTACAATAAACCAAGCTTCAAAATTAAATATCTATTTCAGCCTTGAATCAAATATTGAAAGCATATGGATTTGATCTGGTTAGTATTCAGTTAGAGTTTCGCTTAAAAATTGATTATGAAATGAATCATGACTTTTAATTGTATGTATATTAAATTCATGCTGAAGCATAGCGAGGACTTACATTCTGAGCAAACTGAATGAATGTCTTTACAATATCTAGCAAAAACTATCAATAATATTTGAAAGAATATGGTCCTGTTATGATCTTCAGTCAATGTAGCAATGCAGATATAAATTGTGAAAGGCTGTAAA